GCTATTCTGTGCACTATAGGGCATGTAGCACTATCCCTGGCCTCTGCCGTCCAGATGCCAGTAGTGTGTGCGTGCTCAGTCACTTCAGTCATGTCTGACTCTTTGTGACCCTATGGACTGTAACCCACCAGGCTCCTCTGTCCCTGGGATTCTCCAGGCAAGAATACTGGGATGGGTTGCCATACCTTCCTCCAGGGGATCTTCCTGACCCAGGGACCAAACCTGTGTCTCCTGCATTGCAGGCAGATTTCTGTACCCACTGAGCCACCTGGGAGGCCCAGATGCCAGTAGCACCCCCTCCCCCAACTGACAGTTGAAAATGGACTCCCCAGTTGAGAACCACTGAGCCACTGGAAACGTTGCAGGATTATGGTTGATGCTAAAGTTCTAAAGTCAAGGTCCAAATTATCTGTGCCCTGTGGCTCAGATGGTGAACAGTCTGCCTGCAATGTGAGAGACCCGGGTTCCAATCCTGGGTTGGGAAGATTCCCCTGGAGAAGGAATGGCAACCCACTCCATTATTCTTGCCTGGAAAATCCCATGGACGGAGGAGTCTGATGGGATACAGTCTATGGGACCACAAAGAGTTGGCCACGACCCGAGCAACTAACTCTTTCTTTCTTTTGTCTAGAAGGCAGCCCTCCTTGCATTCTCTGAGGATTGGGATGAACTTGTAAGTCCCTAAAAGTCTTCCTTGATGAAGCCCACAGCCCTGTGCGGTGGAAGGCCCTTATCTGTGGACTACCATTGACTTGAGTCTCTAAGAATAGCCTGACAGGGGATAGTCCCATTTGGCAAGACTTTTGGACCTGGATGTTGGAGCCACATGGGTGAGGAGGGGTTGTGAAACAGACTGGAGGCTGGCCACTGCCCTCACTGCCTAGAAGCTGTAGGTACCCTGGAGATGGCCTCCCAACCTGAGATCCAAGAATACCAGCCAACCACACACATTGTGGTTTAGTCACCAAGTTGTGTCCAATTCTTTTGCAACATCATGGACTGTAGACTGCTAGGTATTTCCCAGGCAAGAATATTGAAGTGGGTTGCTATTTCCTTCTCCAGGGGATCTTCCCAACCCCAGGATCAAACTTGAGTCTCCTGCATTGGCAGGCAGGTTCTTTACCACTGAGGCACAAGGGAGGCCCTAACCATCTGGACACACAGGAAGTGCCTGTGGCCATGACTGTGTGTCTGTGGCAGTCCACCTTTATTCTAGGGCCAAGACATTCTCGTCTGTGCCACTAACTGCTCTTCTTGCAGGTGGCCCTGGACCTGGACAAGAAGTAACCCTTGCTGGACAAGTCTTTGCTCAATAAAATTGCTTAAAACCTGCAAATTCGCTACTGTGTTCTAGAGCCACAGGGAAATGCCAGCTCCCTGCAGCTCAGTGGTTGATAACCTTTTTTGTAGGTCTGCAGAACACTGGGGATCTCTCCGTAGAAACATGCAGCATATATACACACACACAGTTCTGTACATAATTTCTGAAGCTCAATCGTATATTAAAAGTTAAGAATCCTTTATAATATCTCATGAATTTAAATTCATGTTCCCTAGTATCCTGCAGACCCACCTCTAGCAACCTAGTCTAAAGAAATATTAGCATTTGATGTGCAAGTATGTTGTGTGTTTATAACAGCATTTTTATAATAGTAAAAGAAATAGCATATAGAAAGAGCTTAAATGGATGCTAGCAGGGAGATTGAAATATTGTTCATTCATTCATTCATAATATAATACTACACAGCAATTAAAAGGACTGAGGTAGAACTATAAATACAGATTGAAAATAGATCTGTGATATTCTTCTGTATAAAAAAAGCATGTTGAGGAAATTCCCTGGTGGTCAAGGGATTAGGACTTTCACTGGGACTGGGGTCAGTATCCAGGGTGTGTGTGTGTGTGTGTGTGTGTGTGTGTGTGTGCGTGGTTTGGGGATGGGGAGAAAGGAAGAGAAAAAGATTTGGGAGGAGTGAGAAGTCTGTTTTGGACAGTATTTTGTAAAGTTTGTATATTTAAAAAAATTTAAATTCAGTGGTAGCTGAATTTGCAGTAGCTTTCACTGTCACATTAGAGGTTCAGTGCTTGGTCAGGCTTGAGATCCCTCAAGCCGAGCAAGGAGGACAAACAGACAAACATGTTGAAACAATATAGAGTATCATCTTGTCTTTGTAAAAATTATTGCACATGTGTAAATACAAATATGTGTGTGTATATATATATAATATTTTTGGTTTCATAGACTATATTCTGGGAGTCTAAGCACCAAAATTTATAGCAGCTATTTCTTTGGGGTGAGATTTACTCTTTTCCTGTATTCACTCCTGTGTTGTTCGAAGTTGTAAAAACTTGCAAGAATTATTTCTATAAGTTGGGAAAAAAAAAAAAGATTAACAGCAACGAACAGAAATGAGTTATCTCTAGGGTGTGGAGTATGGTGGATGAACCTGCTTCCGTCTTGTCAGGCCCCCAGGCTGAGTAGTCATTTTCTATGGCACAGATCCCATGGGAAGGTTCCAGATACCAGACGACCTGCTTCTGAGGTGTCAGAGCCACTGCAGAGCCCTCTGTGAAAAGGACAGGCCCCTTCATGCTCCGTAAACTTATTCTTTGAAGTCATTTGTCCCTAGGGAGACCACTGAATTTAAATTTTTTTAGATATACAAACTTTACAAAATACTGTCCAAAATAGAATTCTCTCCCCTCCCCAATCTTTTTCTCTCCCTTTCTCCTCAACACCCCCTCCAACCTCACACACACACACACACACACACACGCATCCTGGATACTGCCCACAGTCCCAGGTTAAGTTACAGTGTTCTGATATCCTATTCCAGAGATACTACCCTAGGCATTCTTTTGGATTGAGAATTAAGATTTTTTTTAGCTTGGAGACTGGACTGAATTCATGGTTTCTGGACTCTGGCTAGGCCTTAAGAAACACTTCTCACTAACTACCCCAGGAGTAGCCTTGCAAACGTGGCCTGGTATGTACAGACTCTGCCCTCTCCTTGGACTTTTGCCCATGCCAGGCCCGTTGCTGCCACCAATGACACTGCCAGGCTCTGACCGTCTCCCCTTGGCCTCTGGCCATGCTTCCATCCCGACATTCCCTCAGAAACACTTGGGAGCACAGTGAAGGCAGTGTGTATTAGACTCTTGTGTAATACTCAACTTTTATTCTAAACAATCTTGGACTGCAAGATCAAGCCAGTCAATCCTAAAATAAATCAGTTCTGAATATTCATTGGAAGGACTGATGCTGAAGCTGAAACTCCAGTACTTTGGCCACCAGATGCAAAGAGTTGACTCTTTGAAAAAGATCCTGATACTGGGGAAGATTGAAGACAAAAAGAGAAGGAGGTGGCAGAGGATGAGATGATTAGATAGCATCCCCAACTCAATGGACATGAATTTGAGCAAACTCTGGGAGACAGTGAGGGACCGGGAAGCCTGGCATGCTACAGCCCGTGGGGGTCACAAAGAATCAGACACAACTTAGCGACTCAACAACAACAAGCAGCCAAATCACCAAAGATAGTTTCTATTAGTATATGGACCCTATGTAGGTTTTACTTTTGGGAGCTGAACATGGATGCAGCTATCCCTTCTTCACAGTCATTTTTTAGGATATATATATATCACATTAAAGAAAATTTGGAGGAATAGGATGGAGAGTCCAGTAATAAACTCATACATCTATGGTAAATTGATTTTCGACAAAGGTACCAAGATCATTCAATGGGGAAAGAATAGTCTTTTCAAAAAACAGTGCAGGGACAGCTGGAGAGCCACATGCAAAAGAATGAAATTGGGCCCCTACCCCACACCATATACAAAAAATTAACTCAAAATTGATCAAAGATGTCATTATGTAAGAGCTAAATCTACAACCACTCCTAAAAGAAAACACAGGAGTAAATCTACGTCGTCTTTAACCAGGCAATAGTTTCTTAGATCTGACACCAAAACCCCAAGCAACCAAAGTAAAAAATAGATAAATCAGACTTCATCAAAATTAAAATTTTTTCTGCATTAAATTTCAATGAAGTGAGAAGACAACCCACAGAATGGGAGAAGATATTTACAAGTTATATATCTGACCAGAGTCTAATATCCAGGATATACAAAGAACTCTTACAACTCAACAATAAAGACAAGAAGTCTAATTTTTAAATGTATATAGACATTTCTCCAAATGAAAATATGGTCTAAATCATTAGTCATTAGAGAAATGCAAATCAAAACAATGAGATACCAATTCACACTCACTAGCAAAGCTACAATAAAAGATGCAGATAACAAGTGTTGAGAAGGATGTGGAGAAATTGGAACACCCCATTATATGGAACATATATTACTGGTGAAAATGTAAAATGGTGCAGATGCTATGGAAAATGTTTGGTAGTTTCTCAGAAAGCTGAACATAGAATGACCATGTAACTCAGCAGTTCCACTCCTAGATATATACCCAAGAGAGTTGAAACATATGTTCACACAAAAACTTATACACAAATGTTCATACAGTTTTTTCCTAACAGCCAAAACGTGGAAACAAACCAAATGTGTATCAATAATAAACAGAATGTGATCTATCCATACAATGGAATATTATTTGACCGTAAAAAAGAATGAAATACTGATACATACTTCAGTGTGGACAAACCTTGATAACATTATGCTAAGTGAAAGAAGCCAGTCACAAAGGATCACGTATTATGATTCTATTTACATTAAATGGTCGGCATGGGAAAAATCTATAGATTCAGAAAGTAGATTAATGGTGTCTAGAGACAGAGGAAAAGGAAATGGAAATGAGTTGCTGATAGATATGGAACTTCTTTTGGGGGTGATGATTGCACAAGAAGTAGGGAGTGGTCAGCCAATCAAGCATCAGTGGACAGGAAGCTCCAAGAGTATATCCTAACGTAAACTTTCTGGAACGACCCCACTATCATCTTTGATTGGTTGAGGCTCCTGTTTGGGCAAAATTGAAATTCATGGAATTCTATCAATCTGTTATCATCTCCGGGAGAGACTGTGGTTCACACACCCAGACTCATAAACTTAACCAGCAAATAGGCAGAGGATGTGAATCTACAAGAAAAAGAAATAGCGAACAGACATGTATTCGGATTTCCCAGGTGGTGCTTGTGGTGCTCATAAGGAACCTGCCTGCCTGTGCAGGAGACAAAGAGATGCAGGTTCGATATCAAGGTCAGAAGGATCCCTTAGAGGAGGACATGGCAATCCACTCTAGTATTCTTGCCTGGAGAATCTCATGGACAGAGGAGCCTGACGGTCTACAGTCCATAGAGTTGCAAAGCACTGGACCCAGCTGAAGCAACTTAACCTAGCCTAGCCTAGACATGTATTCAGCCTCACTCATAGTTAAAGAAATGCATCATACAGCAATGAGATTGGCAAACAAAAGTCTAGTAATGCCCAGTGTTCAAAGGCTTATGGGCAAACAGGCACCCTCATACACTATTCCTGGGAGCATAAACAGATTCAACTCTCCTGGAGGGCAATTTAGCAATGTCTGCAACATTTTGAATGCTTATTCACAGTGATTTAGCAATTCTACTGTAGAAATTTGCCTTTGGGATATACTGGCAAAATTATGCCAAAATCATGCACAATTATGTTCACAGCCACATTGTCAGTAGTAACAAAAAATTGGAACACACCTAGACATCCATCAACAGGGACCAGTTAAATACACCCATGTAATGGAAAAGTATGCAATCTTAAATCATGAGATAGAACTGTATATGCTGATATGGAAGGATCTCAATGTGTTTTGTTTTTTAAAAAAATAAACCAATGTGCACAACCATGTGATCTCCTTTGTGTTAAATTGAAAAATAGATCTACATAGACTTTTTCTTTCAGGAACGGTGCATAAGAAATGGTAACTTTTGGAGGGTGGTTTAGGGGTCGGCAGGAGGAAAGATAACTTTTGTCTTTTATTTGATGCTTTTCTATACTATTTTTTTTAATGTCATGTGAATGTAAGATTTAAAAAAAATAAGTATTTTAAAAGCAGACAAGGAACATGAAGGGATAAATGAGAGAGAGAAGAAGGATCCCTTAGGTGGGAGTTTATGGTTTTTCCTGACACAGGGCAAACTTGTTTCCTCTATATTGGTGAAAACATTGTGACCCATCATTGGGGTTTTAGGAAGACCTCCGGGGCAGTAAGCTGGAGGGTGGAGGGGAGTTATGGCCAGAATCAGGGGGACTGGTCAAAAGAGTGGGGTTCAAATTGAGGAGGTGATGGTGGAGGTGGAAAGACAGCTTCAAATAGGAGAGTTGTTAAAAAGGGAAGCTGATAGTCTTTATTAAAAAAAATATTTATTTATTTGACTGTGATGGGTCTTAGTTGTGGTGCTCAGGATCTTTATTGGGTCTTGCGGGATCTTTTGTTCAGGCGCCAGACACTCCAGTTGCTGGCTCGTGGGCTTAGCTGCTCTGTGGCATGTGGAATCTTAGTTCCCCGACCAGGGATCAAACCCCTGTCCCCTGCATTGGCAGGCAGATTCTTAACAAGTGGACCACCAAGGATGTCCTTGGCTGATTTTTTTTAAGCTGATCCTTCACCAGTGCCAACTGCCTTGCTTTTGCCACATCTGCCCAGCAACATCCCAACCCTGGGTTTTCTGTTTATGGTCCGGAAAAGGCCACCCACCAGTGAGAACGTGCCACTCCAGGATCATGGTTCATAGCTCTGCGGGCTTCTTCCTGTACCACCCATTGATTTATTTCTACCTATCCTTGGTTGGCTGTGGCTCTCATTCCCCAGTTATTCCAAATTTTCACCATGTTCACTTCTCACACTTCACTCCCACTCTCATCTATGTGGCCTCTCTTGCCTTCCTACCTCAGGGAACAAATGAGGTGCTCAGGGTTGAGTGCCTTTAACATCTCAGCCCTCTCTCTATAAGTGTATCTAAAACAAGATTTACCTTCTTTCCCTAGTATTCAGTCTTAGAGAATGATGTTCAGCTCTTGTTTAGTTCTGGAGTCCCTCCAGGACATTTCACTGACCGTATTCCATCCCTGAGCCTCAGCTACTTGCTCCTTCTTCTGTGTGTATAGCTGTAACAAACATTGTTTATTTCAGTATCATGACATTTACCTTGCTGAAAAAAGTTATCTCCCTCTGTCTCCTCCAATTAGCTTGATCCTGTTCATGATACTCTTCCCCCTGTGCTGTGCTCAGTTGCTCAGTCATTTCTGACTGTTTGCTACACTGTGGACTGTAGCTCACCAGGCTCCTCTGTTCATGGGATTCTCCAGGCAAGAATAGTAGACTGGGTTGCCATTTCCTCCTTCAGGAGATCTTCCCAACCCAGGGATCTAACCCAAGTCTCTTGGGTCTCCTAGAGTGGCAGGTGGATTCTTTACCACTAGTGCCGCCTGGGAAGCCTGATTTTTTTCCCACTTAACATTGTATTAATATATAACATCCAAGCAGAAAAATGCACGTATTCTAAATGTGTAGCTCACAGAATTTCCACAAACTGAATACACTCATGCAATCAGTCCCCAGGTGAAGAAACCAAGCATTATAGCTACCAAAGCATTCCTTGTGTTCTTTTACATGCTCCATATCCCTCCTCAGGGGAGCCAGTGTATAGTCTTTACTTTTGATTTTTCAAATTTTTTGTATGGCTATGCGGGGTCTTCCTGGGTGGGGGATCAAACCTGAGTCTCCTGCATTGGCAGGCAGATTCTTTACCATTGAGGCACCAGGTAACCCCTGCTGTCCAGTCTTTAAACAGCATAGATTAGCTTCATTTCTGAAAATTTTGAAATAGACCTGAAATAATAGGTACTGTTTTGTGTCTGGCTTTTTGATCATCACATCCATGAGAGTCATCCATATTGTTGCATGCAGTCATAGACAGTTCATTTCCATTGCCCAATAATATTCTCTTATGTGACTAGACCACAATTTATTGATCCATTCAAATGCCCCATTTGGGGCAAACAGCAGGCACTGTGTTTTATTTATCTCTGCATCTCCAGCATTTCATGCATGCTTAGTATAATGGTTTGCATGTGAGCAGGTTAGAGAGCTCAAGGAGTACTTTTCCACTGTGTTCTTGGGTGGTCAGATGATAATACCTGAGATATGAGAGTCAAGCCTGGGTACCAAGTTTAAAATCTTTACAGGCCCATGGACAGGTCTGATTGTCTATTGAGGACAACCATGGCAGTTGTCTGGAACCCATGCAGTGGCAGCCATCAAAGATGTTTATTATGGAAATGAGAACAAGAGCAATCAGACATGGACCTGGTTGCTTTTAAAGACAGAACTGGGCCAATGGCTAAATATTTGAGAGAGGCAGCTTTCTGCTCAATAATAATCATGATATTGGCTCATATTTAGAAAGCACTTACCATAAACCAGACCCTGGCATGTGCTGAGGGCTTGGTATCCATGAGTTCAATATAAGAACGGCTTTTTAATTTTTTAATATATATTTATTTATTTGGGCACACCAGGTCTTAGTTGCAACACACAGGATCTTCAGTTCTCTTTACGGCATGCAGGATCTTTTCATTGCAGCATGCAAACTCTTACTTCCAGCACATGGGATCTAGTTCTCCCGACCAGGGATCAAACCTGGGCCCTCAGCATTAGGAGGTGGAGTCAGCCACTGGACCACCCGGGAAAGTCCCCAAAATGGCTTTTTATAGGATGAGACTTGAGCTCGAGCTGCTTGGTGAAACCATGATGACTTCATGGCTTCAGACACCAGTGATCGTGAGCCCTGGGAAGTTATATTTATAGGCTCACAGTTTTACTGAAAAGCCGTCCTCTGACTAGTCTCCCTGCCTTGCCCCCTTCCTTCTTTCTAAAACTATCTTCTTTATTGAGACCAGCCTCCTGCAGCTCCTCTGTGGGTCCCCTCAGAGCAAACAAATTATTAGGTGTTTCCACCAGGACCTTCCTTCCACTCCAACCCCACCTGGCCTGGCCAGGGCCCTCTCCTTTCCACTCCGGGGATGTCTCTCCTTCCAGTGACTCAGAACTCTCACCTGCATGGATGATGACTCTGGCCAGGGCTGTGGCCACCTCAGGCCTGACCCTTCAGGCAGCCAAGGGTCATTCTGAATTACCCTAAAGTTTGTTTGTGTCCAAAAGAGTGAGGTAGGAGCAGTGGAATTTAGAAAGTATCTGGAAAAAAGGAAAAAAAATGCTACAGAAACCCTTTTTCTAGATGTAGCCGTCCAGTTTAGGTCTCCCAAATAAGCAAAGCCCAGACGAATAAATCTGAGAGGCTGAATGCAAAAGGTGTTTGTCAGGAGAAGAAAAAATACTGCCATCCTCCTAGGATAAGCTGTGCGATTGGCCCTGAGACAAGATTCTTTATCTCACCGTTGGCGCCTGAGGCCCGAGGCCTGGCAGCAGCAGCAGAATCACCAAAAAGACAGTGGCCTGAGTTAGACAAGCAGGCCTTGTTGAAGGGCTGAGGACTCAAGTCCCCACCCCTCTCTGCCCTCCCTCTCCACTTCTCTGTTCTGTTTTCTGCCCCAGCACCCTGCTGTCTTCTGCCTCCTATTTCTACTCAGTGCTCTATTCTTTGTTTTCTCAGAAGGGGTCTCGCGGGGGGTCCAAGAGTTAGGAAGCTGTACAACCTATGGGCAGATCCCCAGAGGCCCCGCTCTCCCCCATGTCCACGGCCTTAATTTACATCTTCTATTTCTTCTCTTCTGCCAGACAAAGCTGAGCACACACTAACAGTGTTAACACGATAAATATCAGCAGCTCTGACCTTTCTCTCTTGGGTCCTGGAGTCACCCTGACTCCCAGGCTCCGACTCGCCTGTGCTTAAAGTGGATTAGCACTTCCGCTAGGCTGCAGGGCCCTTCACTTAGGCTTGATGGGAATCAAAACAGAGATTACCTTATTTGACTTAAAAAAAAAAAAAATTTCCATTTGAAAGATAGAATCCCCCAGAGAAGTACACTGGGGCTTACACATATACAATTTTAAATTGGATTTTAAAAATAGTTTGCCAGCTGTTTGCTAGGTCGGGCCTTGGGTCTCGTCCTTGATTGATGTTGCGGCCATTGGGAAATGAGGCCAAGAGGGGACAGAGAGACTGGCAAGGCAGCAGGATCCCGGGTGCCTGAGGCTGTTCCCAGGAGCCCAGGCAGTTGTTGCCATGGGCCTTTGGAAAGCCTTGGAGCCCTGGCACCAAAGTCTATTTCTCGCCCAGAGAGACTGAAGGAGCTTGGATCACCTCCCCCAGACCTCATCTCATCCCTGCACTGCTGCTTCTAGGCCAAGGTCTGAAAAAAAAGAGCGATGAAAGAGGACTGCTCT